CATACCTTCTGGAAGCCTCTGGGCCTACAGAAGGGGCTTGCTCCTCCACATCAGAGACAGGCACTTCCTTGTGTATGAGTTCTCTGGGACTGCTGAGTCTAAGTGCCATAGGTGGGGGCAGCTTAAACAACATTCATTTTCTCACAGTTCTGGAGGCTGGGAGTCCAATATTCAGGTGCCAGCATCTGCCGAGGGCCCTCATGGTGAAAGCAGAAGGGGAGCAGAACCCACACATGCAAGAGAAACAGGGGCTTAATTCTTTCTTTATAAGGAGTCCTTTTCCAGGGTAAATAACCCACTTTCCCAGTAAGGACAGTAATCCATTCATGAGCCCTCCTGACCTAGTCACTTCTTAAAGGCCCCACCTCTCAGCACTGTCACACTGGGGATTAAATTTCCAACATATGAATTTTGGGGGACACATTGAAACCCTAGCAGGAAGCACCATGCCAGTCTCTGCCTGCATCTTCTTGTGGTATTCTACTTCTATGCATGTCTGTCACCAAATTTTTTACAAGGACATCAATTACATTGGCTGAGGGCCCACCCTAATGACCTTCTTTTAACTTGATTACCTCTGTAAAGACCACATTCTAATGTGCTGAGGGTTCGGACTTCAACATATCTTTGTTGGGGTCGCAGTCAACCCATGACACCTTGTTGGAAGATGATCCACAGGTTTGCTTTGCAAGGAGAATGCATGGCCCTCTAGGGAGGGGCTATTCCATCTCTCCTGCTGGTGACCAACGTCAAACAATGAGCTCTGCTGAGAGAGGGAGGCCAGCGTGCCCCGATGGCTCTGCAGGATCTGAAGACCATGCACCAGCAGGAGGCAGGGATATGTGTGTCCCTGGACCACAGCGTGCTGGATCCAGGCAGGGGAGTAGAACATAAATGTTGGCTAAGAAAGAATTTATCCAAAAGGTAGAGGTGTCGTACAATACAAAGGTTTAACACCAGGCAAGAGCCCTGGGAGGCAGGGCTAACTTGTTCCTAGGATAGTGGGGCAGACAGAGTAATGCCCTGAAGATGTCCACATCCCAATCCCAATTCCTGCAACCCATGAGTATGTTACCTTTTATGGAAATAGGGACTCTGTGCTTGTGATTAAGGTTGAGGACCTCAGGTTGGGGGGTATCCTGGATTTTCCAGATGGGTCTAATGTCAGCATAGAGAGTCTTCTAGCTGCAGAAACCAGAGGGGTGGAGCATGAGAAGGGCTAGACTGGTGCTGCTTGCTTTGAAGATGGAGCAAGGAGGCCAGTAGCCAAGGAACGCAGAAACCTCTAGAAACTGAAAAGGCAAGGAAACAGATTCTCCCCTGAAGACTCCAGAGGGAACAAAGCCCTGCAGATGCCTTGATTTTAGACTTCTAACCCTGGGATGTTCTGGCCTCCCAGAACTGTCAGATAATCCATTTGTGCCGTGGTGGCGATTTGTTGCAGCGGTGACAGAAAACTCAGCTAAGTGGCTCTAAGAAGCTTGGAAGGCGGATGCTCACCCCTGTAGAATAGAATGGCCAGGACAGATGGCGGGAGAGGGAGTAAGAGCTCAGGGACAGGGGCGCGCTCGAGTGGCCGTGCTACAAAGGCTGCAGCACCCACCGAGGCCCCATTCCTGGGTGGCTGCAGGGTGTCTGCAGAGGAGTCTCCATTTACCAGAGCAAGAAAGTTGCACTGGGGAGGGGGCAGAATCACTGAGAAGCTCAGTGGGATGATGGTCGGAGCTTCCATCACAGGACTAGGTGCCCCGAGAACAATGCGGCTGGTGGGATCCCCAGATAAGACAGACCAGGAGGTGCCACCTAATCGTTGGGAGCAAGGTGAGCTCAGGTATCCCAAAGAGCAGCAAAGTCAAAGAAGGAGCCAGCGTGTCCTGACCAACAGAAAGCGGAGGAGATGGACAACAGGACTAGGCATCCCTGGAGGAAAGGCAGAGGCATTGCTTACTCTGGTGCACTTGACACCATCATAGGATGTGAAGGGGAACCGTCCCAAGGGCAGCCTGACATGAGACGTCAAGACACTTGGCCCAATTTCTGGACCTAAGCGAGGTTTCAGACTCAGAACAAAATTAACTTGCAAATTCTAATATTTTTATAGAGTATCTTGAGATTCCTAGGTGTAGAATCATATTATCCTCCAGTAAAGATAGTTTTGCCTCTTTGTTTCCATAGTTATACTGCTTATTTTATTTTCTTGTCTTGGTTCATTAGGTAGAATTGCCCCCAAAATGGTCAATAATAGTTGCAACAGTGAGCATTCCTGTGTCGTTCCTGATTTGAATGGGTGCAGATTTATAATGTGGTTTAAGGTAGTCTTGACCACATTTAGGTAGTTTTATTTTACATAGAGGTTTTTTTTTTTTTTTAATATTCCTTGATACGAAAAGGTGGGTTTGTCTCCTTTATTTGTTGATATAGCATATCATTGATAGATTTCCTAAAGCAAAGCTATTCTCTCATTTGTGGACTAAAGTCTACCCATTCTTGTTTTCTTACTTTCTTAATACATTGGGTTGTGTTCAATGTCCCAATATTTTATTTGAAAGTGTTCTGCATCCATATTTGTAGATGAAATTTCCTATGTCTTTCCGCCACAGTTTTGATAAGATTTTGGTATTAATGTAATGTTGGCTTTTAAAAGTGAATTTTAGAGTTTTCCACATTTTCTGTAGATTGGAATTTCTTCAATAAAGAGATGATTAATTTTATGTGTTAACTTGGCTGGGCCAAGGTGCCAGGGATGTGGTCAAACATTATTCTGGATGGTTCTGTGGGGGTAGTTTTGGACAAGGTTAACATTTAAATGGTGAACTTTGAGTAAAGCAGATTGTCCTCCATAATGTGGGTGAGTGTCTTAGTTGGTTTTCTATTGCTAAAACTGAATACCAGAGACTGGGTGATCTATAAAGGAAAGACGTTTATTTCTCACAGTTTCTGGAGGCTGGGAAATCCAAGGTCGAGGTGCTGCATCTGGTGAGGGCCTTCTTGCTGGTGGAAACTCCCTGCAGAGTCCCAAGGTGGGGCAGGGCATCATCCATGGTGGGGAGGCTGAGTGTGCCAGCTCATCTCTCTTTCTCTTCTCATAAAGCCATCAGTACCAGTCCTGGGACAACCCATGAATCCATTAGGCCATTAATCCATGAAAAGATTCATCTATTCATAAGGACAGGACCAAATCACCTCCTAAAGGCCCCACTGCTACATTGGGGATTAAGTTTCTACATGAATTTCAGAAGAGACAAACATTCAAACTATAGCAGTGACCCCATCCAACCAGTTGAAGGCCTGAATAGAACCAAAGACTGACCCCACCTCCCAATCCCCCTCCCCCACCAGTAAGAGGGAATTCTGCAGCCACAGCGTTGAACCACAACATCGACTTTTCCTGGGTCTCCAGCCTGCTGGCCCACCCTGCAGATTTGAGACTTACCAGTCTCCAAAATCACATGAGCCAATTCGTTAAAATAAATCTCTTTCTTTCTCTCTTTCTCCACCTTACTGGTTCTGTGTCTCTGGAGAACCCTGACTAATACAAACAAGAGAAGTCTTTGATTTTTGAAGGTTGAATAGAACTAATCACAGACATGCCAGAGTCTCGCACCTTTGACTTTTGAAAATGGCAGATGTTTAATCATCTTTCCAACCTAGTCTGCAGTTCCAGTGCTGGCGGTTCCCTGTCAACTGTCGTGGTCTCCTTCATGTTGGCCAAAGCCTAGAAGTGTAACACCCCCAGATGTGTTCACATTGGTCAAACTGCTGGATAATGAGTGGATGGGACTTCCACGCCTGCTCAAGTCAGGGGAGGGGGTGAATTTCCTGAGTGGGCTCCCTGGGGATACTCCAAGAGTGGTGAAAACCCTGAGTGGATTCTCCAAGAGAAGAGTGACCATTGCCAACCTCATGGCTGGCCTTCAAGGCCCGATTTCAAAGTGATTGCAAAATGAAATGCAATCCACAGAAGAGAAGAAGTTGCAAATGGTAGCAAGCGTAAGAAGATATGCTCAGCCTCATGATGCCAAAGCAAGTCCAAGTTTACACAGCAACGAGCACATTCTGTGAAAACTGGCAGGATTTGAATACAACTGCTGTTTCTCAGCCATGGAGGGGGAGGGGTCTACAACCCAGACGTGGGGGTAAATTTGAACAACATTTTTTTTTTTTTTTTGAGGCGGAGTCTCGCTCTGTCCCCCAGGCTGGAGTGCAGTGGCCGGATCTCAGCTCACTGCAAGCTCTGCCTCCCAGGTTCACGCCATTCTCCTGCCTCAGCCTCCCGAGTAGCTGGGACTACAGGTGCCCGCCACCTCGCCCGGCTAGTTTTTGCATTTTTTAGTAGAGACGGGGTTTCACCGTGTTAGCCAGGATGGTCTTGATCTCCTGACCTCGTGATCCACCCGTCTCAGCCTCCCAAAGTGCTGGGATTACAGGCTTGAGCCACTGTGCCCGGCCGAACAACATTTTTAAAGCCAGTTTGGCAATTTTTGTCAACATTTTAAATGTGCATACCCCATGACCCAGCAATTTCTCTTCTAAGAATTTCTCTTATAAAAATGCCTGTGCAAGCTCACAAACATATGTGTACAACGATGTTCACATGACAGCATTTGAGGCAGGAAAAACTGGAGACACAAAACATCCACCTTAAGAGGAATAGTTATGCAAATTGTGGAATCATCATTATAATGGAGTTATGCAGTTATTAAAAAGAACAAAATAGGTGTATGTGTAGGCAGGGAATAATCTCCTTGACATTTTGTTGAATAAAAGAATCAGCCTTCAAAAACTATGTATAGTATGAAACATTTTTGTTAATTGTGTGTGTGTGTGTGCTTATGTGCTTAGCAAAATGTCTAGAAAAAAAGATGCCAGGCTATTAAAATGGTCACCCCTGGTAGTGTGATGGGGTAGGGGAGTGGGATGAGGAGAAGGCTTTCTATTTTATTGTATACATATCTCTATTACTTGACTTAAGAAATGAGCATATATTACTTAGCCAATAAAACAAAAAGATTTTTTAGTGCTTGCAGCAAAAATGCTGATGTAACTTTAAACCAGGAGGAGCAATGTTATGGCTTCCTCACTCTGGGAATTGGACTAAAGGTGACTTAGTTTTAAAGGCAACTAGAAAAGGCATTAATTCTATTAATTAATGCATCAGCGGTTTCCATCTCAGCAAAGATGTCTTAATGAGGGGCTCGGGGCACCCATTATTTATCTTACAAATGCAGCTCCAGGGTCCTGACCGTGCCAGGCAGTGTAACACACATCCCCGCGGAGGGCTGGCGCTGCAGAAGCTCACGGTCCACCCCCTCCTGCCCACACCCGGCCTCACCCTCCCCTTCTCTTCGAGGATGACCTCTGTCCCAGTCCCACGGACCCCGATTCCTCCACGATCTGGCCCCTCCCCCCATACGTTGCATTCCAGGACTCCCGCAAAGGAATCACTTCAGCCTGGACTGCAAACCGCACTCCTACACCTCACTGTGGGCACCTTGGGGGTGTCCTCCAACATCCCCGCCCCGCCCTCTCTCTCGTGGCCTCCTTTCTTTCGAGCTGATGAGGAACTGGGGACCCAGAGTCGGCCTGTGTGAGGCCCGTACAGGTGGCTCCCGCAGTCTTTAGAGGCACAGGGTCGGTCTCCCCAGGCCGACCTGGTAAAATTCCTGCATCTCCTGCAGGCCGCCCTTCTCCGGCTTGGCCGGGACCAGCCTCTGGACCCCGGGCTCCTAGCCCGCGAGCACCAGGAGCTGTCCGCGGTGCTGACCGCAGGCGCTTCCCGCGCTCGGCCGATGCGCACGCGTCCCGGGAGGGGCGCGCGGGACCCGCCGGCGCCGCCACTGCGCAGCCTCCCGCGGGCTCCCCGCCCGGCGCAGCCTCCCGCGGCCTCCCCGCCGCCGCTCTCGCCCGGGCCGGCCATGGCGCTCAACAATTTCCTTTTCGCGCAGTGCGCCTGCTACTTCTTCGCCTTCCTGTTCAGCTTCGTGGTGGTGGTCCCGCTGTCCGAGAACGGCCACGACTTCCGCGGCCGCTGCCTGCTCTTCACCGAGGGCATGTGGCTGAGCGCCAACCTCACGGTGCAGGAGCGCGAGCGCTTCACGGTGCAGGAGTGGGGCCCACCGGCCGCCTGCCGCTTCAGCCTGCTCGCCAGCCTCCTGTCTCTGCTGCTGGCCGCCGCGCACGCCTGGCGCACGCTCTTCTTCCTCTGCAAGGGACACGAGGGGTAAGTGGGGGCCGCTCCCGGCGCGGCGCCCCTTCCATGCCCACAGCGCCCCCAGACCCGCCTCCCCAGGGGGGCGCGCGAGTCCCTCCATCTCTCCGGTAGCTCCGAGGCCCGCAAATGTCAACAATCAGCCCTCACCCCCTCCATGCAGACCGCCCTTTGTCTACACACACATCTAGGGACCATGACGACCACTGGTCCTGCATACAAGGCCAGTGCCTCCCTTCCCCAAGTGCGCATCACCTCCGGCTTCCGGACATCTGCCCACTTGGGTTGCAGATGTTGCACCGTCATCACCCAGCAGGCCTGGACCTTCCTGGGCGGGCTCAGCCGGGCCACACTCGCCAGGACCGGCGACAGCTCCCAGCCCGGTCTAGGGCTTGCGCTGGGCTCTCCAGGTCCCAGTGATAAGGCGTACTGGGGAGCCCCACCCGGCACCATCGCCCCAGGCAAGGGACGGCAGACGGCTGTCTGGAGGGGAGCCACCCAGGCACACCTCGAGCTCAGGCCTTGGTTCATGGAGAGAGACGGCAGGGCGAGGGCTGTGCCTTGTGGGCTCAGGGCCTTCCTCATCCTGGCCTCCATTTTCCTCTTTCTCTTTCCTGCTCCGGCAGGATACTGGATACTGGAGCTTATACAACCTGGTTCACCTGGGATGCGGTGGTACCCTTAGCCAGTGGCGCCCTGGGGGCCCTCTGGGGGCCCACGCACTCCCTCTGTAGGGGCCCTTTGCGGGCTCACCCACTCCCTCTGCAGGTGCTCTCTGTGAACCCTGCACCCCCCCGTGCACCCACCCGTCCCCCCTGTGCTCCCACCCGTCCCCCCTGTGCGCCCACCCACCCCCCTGTGCTTCCACCCGCCCCCTCTGTGCTCCCACCCACACCCTGTGCGCCCACCCACACCCTGTGCGCCCACCCGCCCCCTCTGTGCGCCCACCCGCCCCCTCTGTGCGCCCACCCGCCACCTCTGTGCTCCCACCCACACCCTGTGCGCCCACCCGCCCCCTCTGTGCTCCCACCCACACCCTGTGCGCCCACCCACCCCCTGTGCGCCCACCCGCCCCCTCTGTGCGCCCACCCGCCACCTCTGTGCTCCCACCCACCCCCTATGTGGCTGCCCTCTGTGGGCCCTCCCACTCCCCTGGCGGAGGCCTGCTGTGCCCAGGAGCAGCCCTAGATCCTGCAGAGGTTCCGGGAGAGCACTCATGAAACCCAGGCCCCTCCCAAACTCCGCCCCACCCCCATCCTTTGTTGTAGGTTTTCACTCCCTGCCCGCGGGTGGGAGATGAGAAGGACTCAGAGCGGTGCGGGTGGCAGGAGTGGGGAGGCCCTCCGTTGCCCACCCCCTGTGAGCCCACCGCTTGGTTTTGGCTGAGAGAGGGGCCAGAGAGGGGAAGAAGAGGGGCTCCAGGGAGAAAGGAGGGAGCCAGGGCTATGCCGAGTGGGGCTGTAAAATCTGGAGGAGGGGTGAGAATCCCAGCGCCTGTGGGTAGGAGCGCCCTGGGGCTGCTGCAGCACAGTTCCACCAACTGGACTTAAACCCACTTGTCCCACCACCCGCTGCCTCTGTCGCACAGGGCGTCTTCTCTCTGCTTCTCTGTCCTCCCTCTTTTTACAGGGACACCAGTCACTGGATTCAGGGCACACTCTAAACTCAGGGAGATCTTATCCTGAAATCCAGAGCTTAATTACACCTGCAAAGATGCTCTTTCCAAATAAAGTCACAATCACGGGTACCAGGGGTGGGACTTGGGCATAACTTTTGGGGGAGACCATTCCACCCACGACACTAAGGTTCTGGGTGGGGGTCAGTAGCAAGCTGGCTATCAGCCTGGGAGGACCCAGGTAGTGTGGGGCCATGGACCCAAATTGTGTGACTGGAGCCCTGCTCAAGGTGGGGTCAGGCCAGGCGCAGGGTGGTGTCCTGTCCATCTGCAGCCGTCCTCCTCCCCTCAGCCCCCTCCAGGGCTGGTGTCCCAAGAAGAGGCTTGAGATATCATCTGCACCCATGTTGCCAAACCTGAGAGTTACCCAGTCTGGGCTGTGTGTGCAGGGCAGGCAGGTGGAAGTCTCTCTGAATGAGACATGGCGTGAAGAGGGAGTGGGACAGCCAGCGAGTAAGGTCAGCTTCCCAAGGCTTGAGGTCCTTTAGTCTTGGAAGCTGAGGGTGAAGTGTGCAGGCCAGGTGGGGCCACAGTTGGTTCATTGCTCATGCACGTCTTCCCTGCCTCCTGGGTGTCCATCAGGGTGCCTGTGGTCCAACTGAGGCTGAGAGGTGGTGGCTGTCTAGATAGGACCCAGCTATGTGGTCAGAGTGATGTGAGATTTCATAGGGGGTTCCACCAGAGGCGGGGGATGGGGAGAGGGGAGAAAAGAGCCCCAGAGCTTGCAAGACAGGAGTCCAGGTCGCACAGGGCGTGGTCTGTTTTGTACACACTGGGCAGCAGACCCAGGGACGCCATAACAGCAGCTCTGCCTCTCGCTGTCTCACGGAAGGTGTCTCTCTGTCAGCCCTGGCAAACTGCCGGCACCATCTCCTTCCAAAGGCAGAAGACAGGTTCCTGGGGAGTCTTCAGGCCTTTCCAGCACTCTTTGTGGCATTCCGTCCTCCCATGGGGTGGAGCCGACTGGGATGCAGGCCGACTGTGTGGCCTCTGCCGCAGCCCTGCTGACCGGCCCGTATGGGATTTAGGAAGCCTTAGATGACCTGGTGTGCTCAGGGCCTGTGGGGGTTAGGGTGAGGGTTAGGGTTGTTGAGGGGGTCTACATTGTGGAGGCTCACCATGGCCTTGACCCCACTGGAGGTCAGGCCCGGGCGACTCCTGCTCTCAGGGAGGGGGCCTGTGGTGGAGCATTTCAGGTTCAGCCCCTTTGCTTCAGTTCAGGGGTTCACCAATCTTCCCACCACTGACCTCTGCCCAGCCTGCTCTTTTCCAGGGACATGTGGTGCCCGTGTCCTTCTTGGCCATCAGGAATTAGTGGCTCAGGTCACGTGGTCATGTGGCCACCTGTCCCCCACCTCATGCACCGCACAGTCCATTGGCAGATGGGTTGTGCGATGACATCTGTCCAAAGTGTCAGCCCTCCATTGAGTTCTGGTTGTAGGCGTAGGTTAACGCTCTCAAGAGCCATCTCAGGCCACAGGTTCCCACCCTAGGGGACCCACGGCTGGGTGAAACCAAGGCAGGCATGCACCTTATTCATCTCTGTGTCCTTAGGGCTGAGCACAGGGGATGGTGCGTAGGAGTCACCAGATAAAGTTTGTTGAATGACTGACAGAAAGATGCCTGGGTCCTGAGGCCTGCTGCCTTGTGGTCACTCACCTGGCCCTGATACCTGTGCAGACTCAGTTGTCTGGCCAACAGGTCCACCCTTCAGACTTGCCATGTCAGGAAGTTCTGGACCCCTGGGAAGATTGGGTCTGCAGGGCCCAGTGATAGGGCGGCCAATTCCAACTCAATTGTTGCTCCAGCTACATAGACTAGGCGAGCAAGTCCAGGTCGGTAAAGGGGACTCAGGACCAGCCAAGGGGCTGAGACAGGCCTTTATAGGGAGCTCCTGTGGTGGAAACAGGCTCTCAGGGCCATCAACGGCCACTGGACATGCAGCCCATGGAGGAGCCTGCTGACCCCATCAGACTCTGGCCGCTAGAGGGCTGGGCCTGGTTAGGACGGCACACGCCCTGATCCCCTAAAGTGGACTCCACCCTCAGGGGCCACCCAGCTGCCCTCCCGCCAGTGCGAGCGCAGGGCCTGTTTGAGGTCTGTTTGAGGGTCACACGGCAGGTCCAGAGCTTGTGGAGCAGAGGCCATGTCTCAGGTGCCAGCTTCCTCTTCCTACGGGGGTGTCTCTCTTGCAGAGTCCAGGCCCTGAGAGCTCGTGCCCAGAAGTGTGAAGATTAGAGTCGGGGGGGGGGTAGCTTTTGCAGAGCGGTGTCATCTTGATGCTGCCTTATTGGCTGCTGATTGAATGAATGAATGAATGAATGAATGGAATGGCGCCTGTGCTTCAGGGGGGCTTGCCGTTTCGGGGCAGAAGGGTTTGCTGAGGCAGCCATGGGCCTGGGGCGGCTGTGCTGAGAGGGAGCATTGCGGACGTGGGCTGGCAGCAGTCTGTGGTTGGCAGGCCGGAGGGGCACTGTGTTAAACTCATCTGCCTGCCCGGCTGAGCCTTCACATTGCTGGGCTTTCCAGGACAGTGGTCGCCATGGAGATGGCACATCCTGGCAGCGCACCCTGAGCGGCAGTGAAGAGAGAGGGTTAACCCTGTGTGTGCCGGGCTCCTGTTCCTGACCACTGTCCTGGCCTGGCCATGGTGAGGGAGGGGCTGGGTGGCCCTGTGACCTCTGGGGAGCTGGATCTGGGGAGGCTCTGGACACATCCAATGCTTTAACAACCTGGAGAGCCTGGGCAGGATCCCTGGAAACCGAGCAGAAAGGAATGAGAGGAGCAGACCGAGGCTGTCAGCCGGCAGCGGCCCCAGCCTGGGGTCCCTTCCCTGTCTCGTGGGGAACTCCTCGATCTGGTCATGGGAGAAGACTCCAAAATCGGGCCCATTTCATAGGGATGTGGCTGGATGTCTGAAGTCTCCAGATAATTGGCTTTTCTGTCTGTTGGAGGTTGTGTTGTGGCCCATGCTCAGCGGTGGAAGGGGACAGTGGGTCGCCTGGGCCCAGAGCCTCTGCCGTATCTCAGGTGCGCTGGGCCAGGTATTTGCAGGCACTGGGGTCTTTCAGGGAGACCTTGCCCTTAGGGAGCCGGGCCACTCAGGGAAGCTTAAGCCGTGCACGTGCCTGTCTAGAATTCGGTATACTATAGATGTGGAGGGTGCTGCCCCAGCCTCCCGAGGGGGATTGGGATGTGGCACTGGGTAACAGGCCCTACCTAGCCTGACCTCACTGTCTGCACTGTGGTCAGCCTGGCCCTCCAGGGAGGTCTCTGGGATGGCCTGTCAGGGAAGTCTAGCAATGCCAGGTGCTGGAGGGTGCCGCTGCCAGACCAGGTCCCTGGGAGGACCGCAGGAGGGCTGTCCGGCGGGTGGGGGGGCGGATGTGCCCTGCGGGAGCCTGGCTAGGGACTGTCCTCTGCCCCCACTCCAGCACCATCCAGCGGGCCGGGTTTGATGCCAAGCAGCTTCCTTGCCTCTGGCTGTGGAGCTAACCCTGGCCATGCCTCGCCACCACCTCCTCCTTGGCTGCGGTGGAGCAGCTGGTCCAAGGCTGCAGAGGTGGAGTGGGCTTACTGTGCCCCGCTCTGTGACTATAGTGGAGGTGGTGCTGTCCACATCCCTGGCTAATGGGACCTGGACGGGTGGGTCACCTGGAGAGCAGCAGTGACTTTCAGTGGAGGGACCTGGTAGCAAGTTCCCACCTTGCTTTCCCACCCTTCCACCCCATTGCCCAAACCCAGCCAGAAGCCAGAGGGCACGGGGTCATTGCCATGGTCCATACCTTTCAGCCTCCAGACAGAGAATGGAGGAGACGCACTGCGAAGAGCAGGCGGGAGACACTGGTACACGGTGATTCAGGCTTGGACTGGGCTAATGGAGCCAGTCCCACGTATGACAGCTCTGAGACTCACAGCACACTGGGCCAGAGAGGGACCGAGAATGACCCCGCATCCATCCTGGCAAACTTTTGCCACTGCTCTTTCTGTCATCAGAGAGCTTTGGATGTGGCGCTGCGATGGGGGTTGTGGCTTGTCTACTGGCACACGGTACCCACCCTCCAGCCATCTTTGACTGTGAGGCCTGGGCAGAGGCTTGATCACCCCCCACGCATAAGTGTATGAGTCCTGCTGGTCCTGCCCTCTTTGGTGTGGTTGTTGGGATCACAGCTCATGGCTTTAAGAGTGTCCCTGTGTCCTCTCCCCTTGTCTGGGACTCCTTGGGGTGGCTCAAGCCCTCCCATTCCTGGGGGGTGGTTCTGCTGTCAGCCCAGCGGTCACCAAAACAGTGTGGCTGGGGCTGGAGCCAGTGGACGGGTTCCTTGGAGGCACCAGATGTTACAAAGTAGCCTGGTGCCACCTGCTCTGAGTTGGGTGCTGTGGCCTGGGCTTATCCTCAGCATGTTGGCTGGGGCACCTCCCGGGGCCAGGACTTCGTCTTTTGTATCACTTTGCCCTCTGTGCCCAGCACAGGGCAAGCGGGTACTCAGAAAGTGCCTGCTGAATGAATGAACAGGCAGCGCGCTGGCCTCCACGTTGCCTCATCAGCAGCTGCCGAGTTCGGATGATGGTGGCGTTGATGTTTTCTTGGCTGAGATTCCAGGGAGACCTTGTTTATTCAGTGATCACTGTGAAGCTGTTTCGTGGGTCACCTACCTTAGATCCAGCGTGCTGACAGCACACAGGCAAACATCCAGCCTGCTTGTAGGTGAGAGGCGGGAGCAGCCCCTTCTCAGCCGTGCTGCTCATGCTGATGTCTGCCTGGGAGGAAGTCCCCCTCGAGGCTCCCACTGGAGGGACAGTCCCTATCCCTACCCCACAAGCCTCGATGTGCATTCCAGGCTGAGCCCATGCCAGGCCCATTGGAAGGACTTTGAATCTTGTTGGAGCAATTCAGAGATGGTGGACGTTTGCATGCCAGGCAGGAGGGCCGGGTGGGGTGGGTATCCCGACCACATGCCTGGTATCCTCAGAAGAGGAAACATGAGCCTCCTCTGAAAGCCATGGCCGTGTGCGCCCTGGCAGAGGCCTCAGACCCCCAGGGCAGTGTGGCCCAGCCCTAAGCGAGCTCCTTCCTCATGACCCCGCCTCCTGTGCTCCCCATGCTCTGGCCCTGGTCAGATGGGCCCAATCACAGCCCGGCCTTTTAAGTTTAAACGGATAAACCAGAGTCAGCCCATCAAACAAGTCCTACCAGGGGTCCAGGCCACGCGCTGATGACCTGTGGGTGAATGGATGCTCTCAGCACCACAGGCTGGGGGCTTGTAAACAACAGGCATTTACTGCTCATACTTCTGGAGCCTGGAGATCTGGGATCCAGGCTGGGATCCAGGTTCGATGCCTGCTGAGGGCCCGTTCCTATTGCTGTGTCCTTATCTGCTGGGAGCTCAGTGGGGTTTCTTCTGGGAGGGCGCTCATTTCATTCATGAGGCTTCACCCTCATGACCTCCTCTCCTCCCAAAGACCCCACTTTCTAACCCCTCAGCGGACTGTAACATAAGGATTTGGGGGGACACAAGCACCTGGGCCAGAGCTGCTGGTGACTGTGGGTGGGCGGCTTTGGAAGGGTGTCATTCATTTCCACCCTGGGTGCAACCTCTTTTATGAAATGATGGGGACCAGGGTTCCAGGTCCTGGGTCTTTGGGAAGTTGTGACCTGCAGCCCAGGGCGGGCACGTGGAGCTGCCCAAGGGACTGCAGGAACGGGGAGCAACCCCTCGAGGCCCCACAGGGCCCAACCCAGGAATCCTGAGGGTCTGGAGGTGCTGCTGGTGGGGGTCGCCCGGGAGGTGGCCTCCTGTTTCTGGCTGCAGCCTTGGGGCGGAGGTCTCCTGGGTGGTGGTGTCCAGTGAGCCTGCCCCTCCTGTCTCTGGCTGCAGCTTGGTGGGGGTCTCCCGGGAGGTGGTGTCCAGTGAGCCTGCCCCTCTTGTCTCTGGCTGCAGCTCCTTCTTCTCCGCCTTCCTGAACCTCCTGGTCAGCGCCTTCGTGGTCTTCCTGGTCTTCATTGCCAGCACCATCGTGAGTGTGGGCTTCACCATGTGGTGCGACACCATCACCGAGAAGGGCACCGTAGCCCACAGGTGCGCCTGCCTCACCTGCCTCGGCCTCAGCCTCGGCCCACCTCCCCTGAAAATCCCTTGACACCCTGCCCTGCTCCGGGTGATTTTCCCTCGTGAAGCCCATCCTGAGTCTGCAGTCCCTGGTCCCACTGTGCCCCTGCCTGTGTATACCTGGCCAGGCCCTCTCCTGAGACCTGCCCCGCAACATTGATACCTTCCCGCTCTGGGAGCAGGGAGCATCACACGTCACACACGAGCGATCATCCCTAGGGCTGAATATGGCTGGAGGTGACTCCAGGTGATCAGAGACTCCGGCTGCCCTGTCCTTGCCACCAGGGCTTGCATGACAGATCCCATGCAGCATAGCCCCAGGTCCTGGGAAGCTCGATGTGACCACACAGCTGGAGACCCTTGGGCTTCTGTCCTGTGCTGGCTGAATGCGAGAGCCCAGGGAGAGCATTAGGCTCAGGGCTTTGGTCCCCAGGGTGTGGGATTTGGAAGATGGTGGAGGGGACAGGGATGGTGAAGAACAGGAGCAGAGAAAGCTTCTGGTAGGGTGAGGGTCAGCTCCCAGGCGGGTTGGGGATGAAGGCCTTTGAGCCATGGTGGTCCCTCTGGGATCTTAGCAGCGGCATCATTTGGCTTGTGGGGGGCCCAGAGTGGAGCACGGTGACTGCCTGCCCCCAACAGTGGGATGCCCAGCCCTGAGGGGCACCATCCAGTGCCCCAGGCCAAAACCGTGGAAGACAGGAACCCTCCAGAGTTTCCACGTTCTTCCTTTAAGCAAACCGAGACCTGAAACCACAGCATCTGCAATAGATGGCAGCAGAGCCGAGGGGCTCCCTGCCTGTCTGTTCCGTGCCTCCACTCTGGGGTACCTGGGGCACAAACCAGAGGAAAGCGTGAGCACCTGGGCGTGTGACCCTGCAGGGCCTCCTGTGCTGAGCTGTGCCCTGTGCCCCATCCTGCACTGTCCCAGCTCCGCCTGCTGGCTCTGGCCACCTGTTTCCCGAGAGCGTGGGCAACCCCTGGTATACAGGCAAAGTTTCCTTGGCCTCACGGACACCGTTTCCAGCCCTTCAGCCCCTCCAGGGGGTGTGGGGGCTGCTGGGCTCCCTGTCTCTGGCACCCTGCTTCTGTCAATGTGTCCTGGCTTTATGTTTTATGTTGGGGGTGCAGGACACCGGGAGCCCAGGCCTGGCTCACTCCCGGGCCCTCTGATGCCCACTGCCTCCACAGATGCCTCCGTGATGGGGGCAGAGCCTCTGGGCAGTGTTGGTGGGGACGCCACCTCCATCTCTGTATGGCTGAGGCAGGCCTGCATCTCCTGCCTCTGAGACCCTGTGACCCTCAGAGTGTGGAGCATAGGGGCAGAGGGTCCGGGAGAGCAGAGGCTGAGCTGGTGTCTTCCAGCCGTCCAGAGCCAGGATGGGGAGGGGCCTGGCCTCTGAGACTCCATGACCCTCAGAGTGTGGGGGATGGGGTTAGAGGGTCCGGGAGAGCAGAGGCTGAGCTGGTGTCTTCCAGCCGTCCAGGGCCAGGATGGGGAGGGGCCTGGAGGTTTCCTTTCCCGAAGGCTGTACTGCTCCATGGAGGAGGCCTCGAGGCCGATCCCCCGTGGTGTCCTCGGAGACTCCCTGCTGCCCCCCAACCATTGTAGGGCAAAGTTCGTGCCTCTCTGGCCAGCGGCTCAGCCATGTCCTGCACTGGCTGTCCTGGTGGTCACCTTCCACCCTACGTCCTCCTGTTTTAGCTGTGAAGAGCTTCAGGACATCGACTTGGAGCTGGGTGTGGACAACTCCGCCTTCTACGATCAGTTTGCAATTGCCCAGGTAGGGGCTCTGGGCAGGAGGGGAGGCTTGCAATGCTGGGAATGCTGGGAGGGGGGCATTTACGGCTGGACACTCGCTGAGCTCTCCCCCTATCCAGAGGAGGAGGCAGGCTCCTGTGCAGATAAGGTGGTTGGCAACGGGACCAGGCAGTGGGAGCACTCTGGAAGGCTTCCTGCAGGTGGGGGAGGGCTGGGCTTTTGTAGGTGGGTTTGGGGAGGAGATGGCCACAGTGAGTTAGAATCAGGAAGTGGCAAGGCCCTGGAGTCTGGAGTGAGAAGTGTTGGAGGAGGTGGTGTCAGAAACGAAACCAGGCATCGGATCCTGGGGGTCCAGTGCAGGGACGAGGGCCTTGGACTTTGGTGCCAGCATGAAGTGAGCCTGTTCAGGTCAGTGCTGGAGGCTTAGGGACGTCCCCTAGCCAGGGGGACGCTGACACGGAGTCCAAGGATGTCCCCTAGCCAGCGGGACGCTGACACGGAGTCCGAGGGACGTCCCCTAGCCAGGGGGACGCTGACACGGAGTCCAAGGGACGTCCCCTAGCCAGGGGGACGCTGACACGGAGTCCAGGGACGTCCCCTAGCCAGGGGGACGCTGACACGGAGTCCAAGGGACGTCTCCTAGCCAGGGGGACGCTGACATGGAGTCCAAGGAACGTCCCCTAGCCAGGGGGACGCTGACATGGAGTCCAAGGAACGTCCCCTAGCCAGGGGGACGCTGACACGGAGTCCAAGGGACGTCTCCTAGCCAGGGGGACGCTGACATGGAGTCCAAGGAACGTCCCCTAGCCAGGGGGACGCTGACATGGAGTCCAAGGAACGTCCCCTAGCCAGGGGGACGCTGACACGGAGTCCAAGGAAGGATGCAGGGGATCCCACTTGGGAATTCAGAAGATTTGCCACCCTACCCTTGTATAAGCTGCGTCCCCCACCCCCTAGGAGACTTGGTGGGGGACCATGGTGGACCCCAATCTGAGGGACCCTATTTGCTGAAATGCAGACCTGTGGGGACACATCAGTGGTCTGTGAGGGCCGGAGGGGGAACCCTGGAATTGGGTTTGCTCCTTGAAGTCTGCAGGTATGCCCCAGATGGAGGTGACGCAGAGGAGGGGTGCCGGGTGGGGTTGGCTGAGACCAGACACCTGGCTCCTGCCAGCACTGATCAGGGCCCACCGGCTTCAGATCCACTTCCAGACCCCAGACTGGCCTCTGAAGGCTCTTGCTGGCTGTGGCTGGCTGAGGACGCTTCTCCTGGCCAGAACCCTCCAAGGGGCTGGCCATAGGTGGGCCTGAGTGTTCTTTGCCGTGATGAACTGGATCTGTCAAAGACACTTCCATGCAAATTTAGTGAGTGGAAGAGGCCTCAGGCCTAATTTGTGCCAATTGGATTAAGGTGTGAGTGCAGTCTGATGACAAATACGCTCAAATGAGAATCAGCTTAATGTGGCTCAGGCCTGGTTCTGATTAAATTGTTTCTCCTTCAACTGTTTGGAAACAGCGGCTGAAGGTCAATTTATTCTGGTGGTTGAAGGAGCCTCCGCTGTTTACCCGCCCTCCTTAGAGCCCACAGGCCCGAGCTGCTGCAGGAGAACGCGCTGGCCGCTGGCCACTGCCCCTCCCCAGGGCCTCTGGCTGGCCTGGAGTCGGGGTGGGTCTGAGTGCCCAGGGCTTGTGCTCCAGAGTGGGTTCCGGGAGGGGCGCAGTGCTGGAGAACGATGCTGGCTGCAGGAAAGACTCAGAAGATTGATCGTGGGCAGGGTCTTCAGGATCCGGCCCTGCCCCATGTCCTCAGCCTCCTCCTTCCTTTGAGTCCCCTCCTTTCCCTGCAGAGCAGAGCCTGGGAGCTGGTGGGAGGGGGGTGCGCTGACAGCGGACCCCCAACGGCCTCTGACCCTGCCCCTGCCCTCTGTGCAGTTTGGCCTCTGGGCCTCATGGCTGGCCTGGCTGGCCATCACCACGCTGGCCTTCCTGAAGGTGTACCACAACTACCGTCAGGAGGACCTGCTGGACAGCCTGATCCACGAGAAGGAGCTGCTGCTGGCCCGGCCATCCCCACGCACCTCCTTCCAAGAGGAGAAGAGCGCTGTCATTTAGGCACCGCGCAGGCAGGGGAGCTGGCCCCTGACCTCCCGGCTGCGCTTGGGGGCATGAGCCTGCCTGGGGAAGCAGCTGGGGGGCTCTGCCTGGGCCCTGGCCACATGCAGCCCTGCGTGTGTCCCCTCGAGCGTAGTGAGGTGAGCGCCCCAGTGCCCACTCGTGAGCCTAGCAGTGGACTGGGTGGGTGCTGGCTCCCTGATGAGGATGGTGCAGAGAGACTATGGGTGTGGGGCGGGGGGTGGGGGGCACCTCCAGGCCTCGCACAGGGCCCCATGGCTGTCCCAGTAGGACCTGACTGGCCAGCCTGGGTGGAGGGCGTCCAGCTGGTCTCCCCCAACCCTGGCCGGATGCTGTCTCCATGCCAGCTGGCTCAGGGGTGGCCAGACGTCACTCAGCCCTGAACGAATTCTGCATGAATTCTGCCATCCAGGCAGAGGCTACGTGTGGGGAGGAGCTCACGGCACCTTCCAGCCTCTGACCCCAGGTTGGCCCCTCCCCGGCTGAGTCCCCCTCCTGGGTGGGTGCCATAGGCCTGGGAGACCCCGTGGCCGGGCTCAGGGAGGCTTCTGAGGCCTGTGAGTTCGCCTCACTGTGTATGGGTCCTGTCTGTGCTTGGCTGAGGGGCACGGAGGTGGTAATCTGGGCTCCACAGAGTCAGGGGCATCATCTGGTTGGGGATTTGGGGGGCACACTTACCACACAGAGGATTGGGCCAGGAGCCATGGCAGGGGTGTGTGTGTGGGTGTGTATGGGGGATGTGATTCTGTGAGTGCCTTTGTGCATGGGAGGGTGTGATTGTGTATGTGAGTGCATGAGAGGATGTGACTGTGAGTGTGCATGTGCGTGTGTGACTGCATGTGTGGGTGTGACAGTGTAGGTGTGACTGTACATGGGAGGGTGTGACTGAGTGTGCATGGGAGGGTGTGAGTGTGCATGAGTGTGCATGTGAGGGTGTGTGACAGTGTATGTGAGGGTGTGACTGAGTGTGCATGTTAGGGTGTGACTGTGAGTGTATGTGAAGGTGTGACTGTTGTGCATGTGAGGGTGTGACTGCATGTGAGAGGGTGTGACTGTCGTGCATATGAAGGCTTGATTGTGAGTGTGCATGGGAGGCTGTGAGTGAGTGCGTGTGAGGGTGTGACTGTACCTGTGGCGTGAGTGTGCATGTAGGGCATGTGGGGAGGAATGTGGGTGAGTGCCTGGGTGCCTGGGCAGGTGTGTCTGCACAGTGTGTGTGGCATGTGCGTGAGGAACCGCATGTGAATGTGCGTGTGTTGCATGTGAGCGTGTGCATGCCCGTGCGTGTGCATATGTGTGTGAGCATTGTGTGCGTGATGGGAGCCGTGGGTGCTGTGTGGACAGCCCCTCTGCCCCTCCCATGGGCTCCCACATCCAGCATCCACCTGAGAGAGGAGGGAGCGCCTTCCCATTCTGCAGAGTCTGTGTGCTGAGGCCCCACAGAGGCAAGTGGAGGAGCTGGGATGTGAACCTGGGATCCCAGGGTAGGGGGCTGCTTGGCTGTGGACCCTACCGCTCAGGAGAACCCAGGGTCCACCTCTACAGGACTCACTGCAGGGGCGGGGGCCTCCTCACCTGGGGCTCGATGAGCGGCTGTCTGTTTCTTGGCTTGAGTGCTGCCGAGTGCTCCCTGCTGCTGCGCCCACCCTCCCAGGGAGACGCGAGCCCCTAGCTCCCTGTGTTGGTGACCCGCCCCGTCCACCATCAGCAGCTGGCTGGTGTCTCTGGGTGGCTGGGCACCAGCCTCCCGGAGGCCACGTGCCTGGGTCCACATGGAGGGTCCCGGTGGGGGCATCACCCTGGGTCCCGTGAGTGAGGCTGGCAGGTGACCAGTCACACTGTGGCGAAGGCAGGTTCCCACTGGGGGCATCAAGGCCGGGGGATCGAGGCTCTGGAAGCTCAAGGGGGCTGTGGCCTTGGGGTCCAGCTGAGTTTCCAGCTGGCAGCCAGGTCCTTGAGGGAGGGGGTTTGGACAGAATCCGAGGCCCCCTAAGCTGATGGGCTTCCCTGTCTCCCCGGCCAGCCCTGACCCACTGAACAGGGGACTCTTTCCAGCCCGGAGAGCTCCTTGTCTGTGTCCCCAGCAGAAGGTGGGGTGGCTCCTGCCTCACCCTCTGCCCAGCCCTGATCCAGGCCAGAGCCATCTAGGGCCCCCGAAGGAGGGGCAGGAGGCAGGGGTGGTTCTGGAACCTGAGGGTTGGCTCCGGTTGGGTCTGTCCTCGGGGCTGCACTGCTGGATCCCAGGAGCTGGAACAGCCCCACAGCCAGGGTGACGGAAATGCTTGGCTGCATGCAGACACAGACCCACCCCGGACTGGGCTGTCCTCGGAGCCCAGACACGTCACCCTGGGAAGGGGCAGCTGGGCCTGAAGTGTGCTGGGCAGGGGCTGGGCGCCCTGGTTGTGGGTTCTCCAGGGTCCCTTAGGGGGCTGGGCCTCTCCCCAGGAAGGAAGGTGGGAAGCACAGGCATGACCCGGGGTTCCTGAGGCGGGTCCGCCAAGTTGCTTCTGAGATGCCTTTGCTTCTCTCCTGGCTGTCTGATAATGGATATCTCTGTTCTAATTCCACTCTGGCTAAACTGAAAGTAAAGACCCTTAAGCTTACATGTGTCTACCCCTCAGAGTCAGAATAAAAACAAAAGCGCCTGAGTCTCCAGCAGGCATGAGGAGTGTGTGGGGTTCTCTCTGCCCTCTCCGCGGTCGGCCGGCCTGCTCGTGGTTTTAACTGTCTGGAATGTGTGGGTCACACGCAGTGCCCTCGGGCTTTGGGCCTTTTGTGTCCGAAGCTTTTAGGAATTGGAAGATGGCCTTCCCAAGGTTCTGCCGTCCTCTCTGTACATTTTCTACTGGCTTCGAGTCTCACTGCTTCCTGTGCTGCTTCCCCAGGTGGGAGGATCAATTTTGAAGGATTTCTTGGGGGTGTGGTGCCCATCTTTGAGCAATATTTGTTGAGCACCTGAGATCATAGCGTAGGACCCCGCAAAGCCAGGCATGTCCTTGTGTTGCCTTTGCAGTGGACGGGCAGCCGCAGCTGGGGGAGATCGGCCTGGGCGGCACCCCCCATCAGAACCACGGCTGGAGGGGTGGCCCAAGCACACAGAGAGAGGGCTGAGCCTGGGTCTATGACTGCCCTGAGATCCAACCTCTGGTAGCCGCTGCTTCTGCATCCAGAATATGGGGCAGGAACCTGCCCATCCTCCTCCCTGGGTGGGGTGGGCTGGGCTGGGCCTGGGTAGGTGGGGCTGTGGTGACTGTGGGGAGAGCATGATGCTGGAGGGTTCCCGGGGGAGCCCCCACCATGGTCCCTTCTGGGCCAGTTCTGGAAACAGCCCTTTTTGTTGCCTCCAACCACAACTCTGGGCTCCCTGGATTCCAAAGCCGGAAGCGACCCTGGAGACCACTGCGCCTGTTCCCGGGCACCTGGAGTTGTGGGGACACACCCTGACTGCAGGGTGAAGGGAGCCAGCCGGGCATCCCTCAAGACCTGGGGGCTTGGTTAACCCCCTGCCCGAGTGGACACATCCACTCCCAGGCCTGCAGGAGACGGGGAGGTCCCAGGGGCCCAGGACATCCACTCTGGCCACTGAGGCCGATTCCTTAGCAAATCGGTTCTGGTTTCTCTTGTTTCTTTTTCTTTTTTTTTTTTTTTTTTGAGACAGAGTCTCTCTCTGTCGCCCAGGCTGGAGTGCAGTGGCGCGATCTCGGCTCACTGCAAGCTCCGCCTCCCGGGTTCACGCCATTCTCCTGCCTCAGCCTCCCGAGTAGCTGGGACTACAGGCGCCTGCCACCGCGCCCGGCTAGTTTTTTGTATTTTTAGTAGAGACGGGGTTTCACTGTGGTCTCGATCTCCTGACCTTGTGATCCGCCCGCCTTGGCCTCCCAAAGTGCTGGGATTACAGGCGTGAGCCACCACGCCCGGCCGGTTTCTCTTGTTTCTATAAAAACACCAAGACGGAAGGAAGCCACGGTGTGTTTTAATAGAGCAGTGTCTCCCAGTTAAGTGGCGGGACAGAGAGGAACCACCAGTCAGGTCGTCAGCCGTGCCCTTCCCTCTCAGGTGAGCCTCGAGGACCCTGGTCTGATTGTCCCTGTGTCTCTCCTGGGCAGTTCTGCCTGGTCCCTAACCGTGGGCCTCCCTGCTTTGTTCAGCCCTCCCCCCATGTAGGGTCTGGAGGGGCCCCTAGTGTTTGTCACCCACAGGGCTCCCTTCAGCTCTGCAATCTGGTGACAAAGCCACAACCACAGACGGTCTCCGGGACCTACAGGCCCCAGCTGGTGGGTGGCACTGGCTGGTCCTGGGCTCGGCTGGGTGCCCCCGGCCTGCAGAGCTGGGCACAGGTGGCTGTTCTGAAGGCCGGGGGTGTCTGGGCCCCTTGCTGTCCCCTCAGCTTCTACACCTGAAGCTGCCCCCGATGAGGGGTCCTCCCCTGGGGCCTCTCCAGACTCATGGGACTGAGTAGGGGGTCAGACCTGGGCTCAGAGGATGGCACCTCACATCAGAGGGACCCACCTTGACAACCAAACCCTTCCTGTGGGATTTCGAGGTCTGGGTTCTCCATGGGCCCTAATTGCAAAAGGCTGGGTTTGCCTCCTCTGAGCAGCCCCTCGAACACAGGCAGCGTGCCCCCCTCCTCAAGCGGGTGCACACGGCAATGGCCGGGCCGGGCCCTAGCAGCAGCAGGAGCTCCTGCTGGGACAAGGGAGGGGCCTTTGGGTGAACCTAGGGAGCCCCAACTGTTAGCAGTCGAATCCTCTTTCTAATAAATCTCACATGGACCCAACACAGGAGACAGGAGGGCTGTGCTGACTAGTGTGGCAGGGCCGCCCGCTGTGCCCCCCATGTCCAGTCTCATGCCATGGGGTCCCACTTTTCCCAGTCGGTCCCCAGGCAACAGCCCTTCTTGGCCCTCGTGATTCACCAAGCAGCAGGACCAGGGCTCAGGCTGTCTCAGAGCCCCCGGAGTGCTTGAGCTGTCCGGGAAGCCCCACCCGTCCTGCCCATCAGAGCCGCAGGAGGCCGTGCCAGCAGGTGAGGGCCGCGTGCTGCAGGTGCAGGACAAGGCTGAGGAGCCGGGCCCGCAGGTCCTCCAGTGCCGTTGCCATGGGCCTGGCTCGGCCGCAGTACAGGCCCAGGGCCAGCACGAGAAGGACGCACACGCACAGCCGCAGGAGCAGGGAGCCGCTGTGTGGCCTGGGCCTGCCGGGCACTGCGGCCAGAGGGCAGGCAGGGTCAGCGCCAGCCAGCCCCACCCTTCCCTGGAGGACTGGGGCTAGTGGGGAAGGGATGGGGAGATTCCGCCCTATCCCTGCCCATGGCCCCTCCCTAGCCTCGTGGGGCCTCCTTCAACAAGACCCCCCCACTGGGGACTCCTCAGAGGCCCTGGCCCTGTGACACCTCCCTTGGGGAGGGAGTGAGGGTGGGTGCACCGAAGGAGGGGGCAGTGGGGTACAGGCACGTGGGCTTGGAACTCACCCCTGACCGTGGCCGTGGTGTTCCTGTCAGCAATGTCTGGGAAGGAGAACGGAGAGTCGGCTGGGAGGTACTTGCCTCAGTCCATCGGGTGTCCCTGCCCTCTCGCCTCAACCTGCACCCCCGAAGGACCCCTGAGACTATTCATGGGTTAGAGATCCAGGCCCAGCCAGGTCCTGACGCTTCCTCAAGAGGACAGTCATTCGAGAAGCCGCCGTCATGTTTTCCTCCAGTTGCCGTTTGACGGACCAGGACTGTGTGTCCAGGTGACCCCACGGGCCCAGGGGTTCTGCCACTGAAGACAGGCGGCCATGGCCCCCCATGTCCTGGGCCCTGCCAGAGCTGGGTGGGTGTGGCCGGAGTCCCCGCCTCCCTCTGCCCAACCCCATCCTCTCCAGCCGCTTGCTACGCGTGCCCTCTTACAGTGGACGGTCACCGCTGGGGGTTCTTGGAACCGCACACGCCTCGAGGTCCTCTGGGGCTCGGCCCCTGGGCGGTGATGCTCCGGCCGGCTCCTTTTCAGGATGGAGAGGGGGCACTTCTTGTCCTCCTGGGACAGGGGCGAAAAGCAGACCGGTGAGACCTGCCGGGACCCAGGTCTGAGCCGTGTGGGGCCCAGCAGCACCGTCCTGGAACCTGTACTCTGTCCTGGCTGGTGTGTGATGCTGGGCCTGTCACTTCCTGTGGGGTGAGGGGCAGCTCCTGGACAGGCACTGCCGGGCAGCCAGACTCAGCCTCAGGGGCCCAGGCAACACAGGAGCCCCTCCTGCCCCTGTCTCTTCACGCAAGGCCCCACTGAGCCTCTCTTCCTCTGCCTGCTGTCACGGATTCAGGCTCGGATTCAGGGTCCCCGGGACGTGCACGGGGGAGGGGGCTGCATTGGCAGAGGGGCTCTGGCTAAGAGGCCAGAGTTTGCAAGCTCCATGGGGCAGGGGCCGGGCCAGGGCTGTGAGGAGGGCTGGTTGGTGGCCTCGGCCTCCTTTTCCCTGGGGCCGAGCCTCACATGCTGCCGACAGGGGCAGCTCCTGCCCGTTCGCCTACCTGGGCCCTTCTGTGCAGGTCTGCTCACGTGTACGGGCCCAGCCTGAGTTTGGAAGATGGAGCAGGAGTTTCAGGCTGCTGTGAACCTCAGCATCCTTGGCTGTGACATGGTGACAACTGGGACTGAGGCGCCCTGGGAGCCGGGCCAGCTCTGAGGTTGTTCCTGGCTGGGGCATTGCTCGCTGCACACAGTCAGCTGCTTGGCATCTGGCGAGGCTGCCCCTCGAGGGCGTGAGGTCTGTCCATGCTGAGTCTGGCCCAGCTCCTGCTGTGCCTGTGGCCTGTCCCAGCCCGGCAGTGCCTCAGAGGCTGGATGGAGCCTCGGGGTCTGAGGTCTGGGCCCCTAACCCTGACACTGACCCTTGGTGACAGTCTTGACCTGTCCTCCTCTCTCCACCCTCTTCTTTCCTCCAACACCCTCCTCCTCGGGCTGCCTCTTCCACAGCCCTCCATGACTCCCACTTCCTCTGCCAAGCGGTGTGCCCCACCTGGGGGCCTCCAACCCCGTCTGCCAGACCAAACCCTTTAAGGCACCCATTGCCCCCGACGGCTCCCTCCAGCCCTCAGTGATCCCCCTGCCCTCCTCCGATCACCCCTTGATTCCTGGGGCGGAGGATGGCCTTTCCTCCTTTGTCTGCTCCCTGCCCCCTCCAGCCCCCAGTGGAAGGCCAGCTTGCAGAACCTGCGTCCCAGTGGCCCACCTTACCCTCTCTGCCCTGCACGCCCGTGGGCCCCACGCGGCCTCCTCATTCTTTCTGGTCTGATGTCGTGTCTCTGGCCGGGAGTCAGGGCTCAAGGCTGCAGTCCTCATTTACTGGAACATGGTCCTAAGATAAGCAAAGACGTTATTTATTATTTACTGCACAAGTGGCACTCAGAGGAATGAAAGTAAGAGCAGAAAATTCCTCCCCGGAAGCCAGGCTGGCTGCCCGCGCCTGCGGCCGGCCACGCTGACGAGTAGACAGCCCTTTCCCTCAGTGGTGTCCCCAGCGCAGATAAATCCTGCTGCCTGCTCGTTCAGAAATGCCATCGCAAGCAATTTCCTTTGCTGCCACAGTCTTCGTAATTGTCATCTTTAATGGCTGCATAATATTCCACTGGGCCGCATAGTATTCCACGGGGCCGAGGTCCCATCATTGAAAGTCGCCCTCGATGATCGGGTATTCAGGAAGTTTGCATTTTAGTATTGTCATTTGCAGTGATTGGAGGCCATGGACAAGGCTGTAGGAAACATCTTCGCTTTGTCTCCTTTTGGTAGTGGGAGGTCCTGGGGCTGGGGACTGGGAATTGTCAGGGCTCTGAGGCTGGGCCCACAGAAAGGCTTCCCAGATGGTCATGCCACCTTTTTGGGCTGGTGCTGGTGGGATGCCCCTGGGCTCCTGGGGGCCCACCCCTCAGCACGGCTCATACTCTCTCTCTGTGTCTCTCTCTGCCCTCCCCCCATTATGTGTCTCTATCTCTCTGTCTCCATCTCTCTGTCCTCTGCCTCTCTCTGATTCTGTCTCTGTCTGTCTCTGTCTCTGTCTCTGTCTCCATCTCTTAGTCTCCCTGCCTCTCTCTGATTCTGTCTCTGTCTGTCTATGTCTCTGTCTCTGTCTCCATCTCCTAGTCTCCCTGCCTCTCTCTGATTCTGTCTCTCTCTCTCCTTCTATCTCTGTCTCTCTGCGCCCTCCTCTGTTGAGCTGGTTGCTTCCTGGCTGTGAATGGCGCCTCCTTGCCTCCGCCCCTGTGTCTATGGCGGTGAAGGCTTTGCTATCCTCATTCTTGCTCACCGGTGGAGCCCCCGAGTGTGGATTTTCTCTCACAGCCTTGGCGGGGTTCTTGACTTTTGGGCACTCCTCCTCCCTACAGAGGGGTGCAGAGCCTACCGGGCATCCATACAGGTGAGCTGGCACCGAGTGTCTGTCTTTCAAGGGCTCTGGGAGTGATGAGCCTGCCTCTCTTGCTGTAGGCGGGGAAACTGAGGCCAGAGGGGGCTGGGGCTTCCCTGGGAGCTGATACCAGGCCAGGTCCTCCCGGCCCTGCTCCCAGCTGGATAGAGGGCAGTGTGGGGGCCTCCTGCTGCCCTTCACCCCACCCCAGGTTCGCCTCTGCTCTGGGGTCCTTGGAGGGCACTGCGGCCCGTGCCCCTCACAGCGCAGGTGTTTGCATTTCCTGAGGTGCTTCCCTGGCTTCCGTTGGTCCTCCAAGGACCCTGCCCCCAAGGGCTGAGAAGGGGGAGGGCGAGAGTGAGGGGCCCACATGGTCCTCAAGGACAACTCCTCCAAGGGTCCCCCAAAGGGGTGGGTGCCTCAGAGGTGCAGGGCAGGCCTGTGGGAGGAGCTGGTTTGGGTGGAGACCCAGTGACTCCAGCAGCTGGGTGCTGTCCTCTACAGAAGATAACAGGGTGGCCACGACCGCATCCCCAAGCAGGCATAAATACTGCAGACAAGCAGAGTGCCCTGTTAATGATGTCTGGGAGGATGCTGTCTGGATGGGTTCAATTATTTCAAAAGACAGCAATTTTCTGCTATCGCAGGATCAGGTTTTTATTGCAAATAGGGTTGTGGCAGGAGCCGGCCGTCCAGCGGGGTGGCAGGGAGGGGTGGCTTATCTTCAGGACCTGCTCTCAGAGAGTGGCCATGGGAGAGGTTGTGCTCGCAGGCCCAGTCGAGCTGGGGCTCCGTCTCCTGGGGCCAGGTCACCTGGAATGTGGGCTCTGCATGATCCCCAGGGTTAGGGAAGCCGCAGAGTGCCAGGCCTGTCCTGGTGTTTTGGGGATGCTGCCTGGCATGCCCCAAGGGCAACCTTGACCGCCTGTCCATAGCAGGGCTGGGGCTGGAAGGGATCTCTGGATGCCCTTGACTCAGTTTCCACCCTGGGTGGGACAGAAACTCTGCTAAAGCCCAGGGGTGGGGTTGGGGGTGGAGCAGAGCCCCCAGTGACCTCTTGGACCCAGAGCCTGGGGTCTCCACTGCCCGGCGGAAGGAGGCTTGTGTATCCGGGGCCATCTCCTGGGACTGCACAGCCTGGGGCTGGCTGGTGTGCCCGGGGCCACAACCCCCTCGCCAGACGGCCCTGCAGCAGCCTTCCAGGGGGCCCAGCCAGGTTCACCCCTCATGAGGAAACAGGCCTGGAGAGGCTTGGGCCAACGGAGTCACACCAGGATGCAGGGCTGGACGAAGTCTCCCCCAGCTTCTGCCAGCAGCTCTCGCTATTCAGCCCTCCCTGGCCTGAGGTCTGTCCAAGGGATGGTGGGACAACAATGTGTGTGTGCACATGTGTGAGTATGTCCCTGAGTGTGCAAGTGTGTTTGCATGCAATGGAGTGCATATGCATGTGTGAATGTGCACGTGTGAGTGTGCAAGTGTGAGAGTGAGCACGTGTGTCAGAGGGTGTGAGTGTGCACGTGTGGGGTATCTGTGTGTGTGTGTGTGCATATGTGTACTTGTATTTGTGTGCATGCATATGAATGTGCATGTGTGTGTGAGTGCATGTGTGGGTGTCCATACATGTGCCCATGTGCATGTGTGTGAACATATCTGCACATGCGTGGGTGAATGTGTGTGTGTTTGTGTAGAGTGTATGTGAATGTGCATGCGTGGGCAATGTGTTTGTGAGGGTGCCTGGCTGTGGCATTAACCATCTGTCACTGAGCAGCATAACTTGGAGAGGATGAGACTTTGCCTTCTGGGGAACAGAGCTCTGCTGAGTGTGGACAATCAGGACTTCCTATGGGACAGCACCTCCCCCTCTTCGGGTGTGGGCTCCGGAGCACCTTGTGTGACCACGTGTGACCTTAGGCAAGTCTCCTAATCTGCCTGGGCCCTGGTCTGCTCAGCTGTGAAATGGGGGTGAGGAGAGCAGCAGCCTCTGCGGGCTTGCGTGAGGGTGGGAGTCAGTGCACAGACTTGAGTCCGCACCATGCCTGTGCTCTGTGCCATCAGCCACTGTTGGCATCACTCGGGGAGGGGATGTGCCCAGGAACAGAGCTCAGGTAGCTCTGGCCGTGTCTGGACAGTCAGGACTTCCTATGGGATGACACCTCCCCTCCGGGATCCCTGGGGCCCTCTCCAGAGATGCACCTTCCCCTGGGCCACGCTCTGCTCCCGGGCAGCCTCCCTGAGCCCTGTCGTCCCCTCCCTAACTGGGCTTCATGCTTCCCCTTCTGGAAGGGAGGCCTGGCTCAAGTCCGGGCTCTGTCCTTCTTTGGCTCTGTGACCTTGGGTAAGTGGTGTGACCTCCCTGGGCCTCATTTTCCCCACCGGAAGCAGGGGAGGAGCGGCTCTGGCACGCTCGGCAGGTGGGGGCGGGGAGGCCCGGGGCCTCTGGCAGGGACAGTGTGTAACTGGAGGCCTCGTGACAGATGGGAGATAAAGGGCGGAAAATAGCTTCAGAGCCTGGACCTGCAAGTGTCCTGCTAGGCCCGCGGCTGGGGAGGGTGTGTCCACCCGAGGGGACTCTACCCCCACTCTGGGCACAGGACCCCCATGGTGCCTCCCTTGGTGCTGGGGGGCTGGGGGGTTCCTACCAGCTCCTCTACTGAGAGAGGGCACCAAGCTTCCTGGGGGAGGGGAAACTGAGGCCCAGAAAGGGAGAACAGCCTGCCAGATTTCAGAGCTTGGGTTGGGACAGAGGCTGGAGTCAGGGCCCGGAGCTCCCAGTTGTGGGCGTGACCCACCCGAGCTGCTGGTGGGAGGTGGGGCCGTGAGGGCCGAGGCTCAGGACCTTGGTCTGGGCTGTGACCCTCCAGCAGTCTTTGGGGGTCTAGCCCAGTACCCCAAAGACCCCACCTCATCTTGAAGCTGTTGAGAGACATGAGGGCACTGACGGAGCCCAGCGGCCCTGGCAGCGCTGAGTCCCCCGCGCCTCGAGATCAGCCTGCAGTGGGGCATGGGGGCCGGCCAGTGGTTCTCGCCTGGTTCAGTGGCTTGGAAAACACCAGGCTCTGGGGCCCAGCCACTGCTGCTCCCTCCCGCTCCTGTCCCGTCCTCCAGGACGCCGCCCACCGGCTTCCCGCCTCCTCCCAGGCTGCTGCCTCTGCCTGCCCCACGCCGCCCGCCCTTTCACCCACAGCCCACCTCCTGATGTTTCTCTGTCCTCCCTGAGGGTTCCTCGGGGTGAGCAGGGTCCCCCATGCAGCAACTGGCTCGTGAGAAATCCCGACACCACCCACCCCACACGGGGAGGGCCCTTCCTCGGCTCTGAGCATGCGGCCCCACACTCCCGGCTCACCCCTCACCTGGCACTGCACCCATTCACACGGCAGCCTCACAGCCTTCCGGGGCAGAGGGTCCTGGGGCCTGAGCGAGCGCAGGCCGAGGCTGGGCTTCCTGCCTCCCTGTAAGTGCAGGCTCCCTGCAAGTGCAGCCTCCCCCAGGGCAACTCACCTGGGGGCTGGAGACAGGTGGCCAGGCTCCTGGGAAGCCAGAGAGCTTCCTGGGAGAAGCTGGAGACCCGCAGCCCCCAACCCCACCACTTACACACACACATACATACACACACACGCTGTCTCTCTCTCTTTCTCTCTCTCTGCCCCTGCCCACCTGGGCTCCTGCTGGTGCTGTACCTCTGGGGTGGCTCACCCGCCTGACCGGCCCTGAGATCCACTGGCGGTCAGAGCCTTGCTGTCGCAGGGTGTGAACCAGAGCTGTTGCAGCTCACAACCAGCTGAGAAGTTTCCATTACGGTGACACAGAGCAGTGGCCTCAGCGGCCCTGGGGGCCCTTGCTGCTCTTGGGATAGCCCGGTCCATGGGGAGGCTGTCAACCAAGGGCTTGGTGGCCCCAGGTGGCGCTGGGCCTCCTCAGTCTCCCGGCACCTTGGTAGTTTGGCCACAGGTCTAACCCAGTGGCCCTGGGGCTGCAGATGCAGGCTGTGCCTTCTCCTAGTGGAAGAGGACTGGGACCGTGGACACCGCCTTGCTGGCCTTTCCTCTGCAGGGCGGAGGCAGAGCACGGCCAGGCGGGGCAGCTGGGCTCCTGGGAAAAGCTGTGGCTCCCAGCCCAATGCTCACCACTGGAACCATGCTGTCAGCTCCCCAGACAACATGGGTTCTCGACTTAAGTAAGAGGGAGAACTTGTGGGGAGGCCCCTGGCTGGGCTGACGGCCAGCTAGGCTTGCTCAGGTGCCTGCAGGCCCTACCAGGTAGGAACAGGAGCAGGAACTGCCTGGTGGCCCCCTGAGGCCCCTCTCCGTGCCTAGATGGGCCCTCACATCGGAGGTGCACTTAGGGCTCGGGGTGGCAGCACCACCGGGTGACGGCTGCTCACCTGCTGGGTGCAGGGGCCACCCTAGGCCTCGAGAGCCCTGGACAGACAAAGCAGGGACCTCCCAGGCCCTCCCTCCCATATGTGGAATGGGGGTTGTTTGCCAACTGTCCAGGGCACTGCAAAAGCTCAGTAGGTGCCCAAGAAATGGCATCCAGTGCTAGGTGGGAGTCCTATGGCCACTCAGGGCAGGACAGGGATTCCTTCTGACTCGGCTCAGAAAAGAGCCAGTTCTCAGGGATTCCCAAATGCTGAGAACTAGGCTCCAGTTACTGGAGTAACGAACCCATTCCTGCTGGGCTGGGCCTGCGTAGACTTGCCCTTGGAGGAAGCCCCCCACGAAGGCCCTTCTCGGAAGGCTGGCTGGGTTCGTGCCTGACACGGCTCCCTGCATTCCCCTAAGAGTGCAGCCCCTTCTCCCCCTGCCCAGGCTGTTTCGCTCAACATCAGGTACCCTTTGGAGGCTTCTGTGTGGCTGGAGACCCACAGCCCTGCTGCTACGTTTGAATTGGCCACGTTCACTGCTTCCCCCAGGGGCGGCCTGGCCTCAGTGGGGACACGGGGCTGGCCTGGGACTGTCTCCATTTTAGGGAAACCATCAGTCCCAGGAGAAGAGGGGAGGGTGGCCACCCTGGAGCTTGTCCAGGTCACTCAGGGTCATCGGTGAGTGCTCTTGCCCAGTCTCTGCCCTCACCTGCTACCCAACTGGGGCAGATTCCCCACCTGCGCCTGCCCTTGGCAATCTCTGCTCTGGCAGCTTCACACCCAAGCGGGAAGTGAGCCCCCTCTCCCTGGGGCTGGAACTCACCTGGCTCCCTCCTGGCTCCCTGAGGGACAGAAACAGGCTCTTCAGGCTCTCCCTGTGGGGCACAGTCCAGTGAGGTCCTGGACCCTCTTGGCTGGCAGCACCCCTCCCAGGCCCTTGAGAGCTGAGCCTCAGGCAGAACTGTAGGGCACACAGGTGAACGGGCCAGGCCTGCCCAGGCCTCCTTCCCGAGGGCTCTGGTCTGGAGGCGCCACCGCCCACCGGCAGGGCCGGGTCTGTTGTGGCCTTCGTTCCGTCTCCAGCTCTCTCTGCTGGATTGCAAAGCCGGGCCAGCTGGCAGCAGCCGGGCTATAATTACCTCTCCCCTTTGGCAGAAATAGCAGTGACCCCGAGGACAGGCCGCTGGCCCCGGAGCAGAAGGGGGTGGCTGTTTCCCAGGCCCCCGGTAGACAACAGACCAGGATTTCAGATGAGACCAGAGTTTGATGCTCTTCCCGCCCCTCCCGGCCCAAATGTGCCCCTCTCCCAGGCCAGTTCCGGAGCTGCGCAGCTCTTGGAAAAACCGAAGGATTGGAATTCAGGGCGGAGTGGGAGAGGGAGGGCACTGTGGGGCTGTGGGAGGTGAGGTGATCACAGAGTCCAGCCTCCAGTAAGACCCTGACCTGGCATGGGGCCTCCACAGTAGAGAGGGTGCCCGCCCCGCCCTGCCCTGGCCCCTGTGCCCCTGTGAGTCCTGACCTGGGGTTGCCAGAGGGAGAGGCAAAGAATGGGTCCCAAGCTGCTGTTTTGGGGCACACTGGCTGAGCCTCGATATTGCCCGGGCAGGAGGGGGCAATGTCTGGGTCAGTGAGGGATGGCAGGGGTGAGGGATCACCCTTTCTCAGGGTCTGTCCCGGGTGGGTGTCCAACCACCCTGCCTGGCAGCTGCTGAGTCTGCCCCTTATTTGTAGGTGAAAGTGCAGCTCAGAGAGTTGAGGCACCCTGTCCAAAGTCACACAATCTGGAGGTGGCAGCCCGGCTCAGGCTTGGCAGCCCGTCCTTGCCAGCCCCCCGTCTGCTGGTGCACGTAAAGGCAGGCCTGAAAGAGGCTGGTGAGGGCACCACCACATGTGGGCAGACCCCTGCCTGGTTTGCAGGACTTTGACCTATTTGAGGGGACTGCTGGAGGAGGTGTGGAGAGACCCATGCTGCTCTCTTAGGAGTGGGGGTGCATCTCCCTTGGGTCAAGCTACAGGACCCCCGGGAGCCCCGGGTGTGCCAGGCTGGGGGACAGTGTGCACAGAGGCTGCCTGGGCACAGTGGCCTGGAACCCACCATCTGAGCATGCACAATGCGGCCATCGGGGCGGGGTTCAGGGGACTGGCACTCCCTTTGCCGCTGTCTTCAGTACAGGGCGGGGAGAGCAAACTTTTCTTGTAGAGGGGAATATGGCATAAGGTGCGCTCTGTGTTTACACAAACGGGGCGGGCCGGATTGGCAGGAGGGCCGTGGGCACTGACCCTTGTTCCAGGGACAGCACTGAGGAAGGCTGGATGGTCCTGCTGGCAGCCTGGCTTCCTGGGAAGAGAGAGGTCCTGGAGCCAGACAAGACCCCTCTCCTGCCTGTGCCCGACCTGGGAACCTCTCCTGGGCTTCCCAGGGCTGGAGCTGCTCCTCCTGGATTTAAGAGGTCAGGCTGCACCGCCTGAAGTTGGGGGCCTCCAGGACAGCTCCTTCCTGACCCTTCTCGTTGACAGAAGGGAGGGAACGGCCAGCCCACAGACCTCGGGTGCTGCCCCCTCTCTGTGCTCCCTGGAAAGGCGATGCGGGCCGCCCCTGTGGACACCGGCTCCGTGTAATTTATTAGCGAGCTGATGGCTCGGCTTGGGGCTCAGGTCCCAGCAGGGTCGTATTTCTGGCCTTATCTGATAGGGCTCAGCTGCACCCTCCTCGCCTCCGTCCACTGCGCCTCACTCCAGCCTGGGCTCTGCAAGGCGAGATAAGGCCGGCCCAGGGGAGTGCTGAGCTGCCGGGTCCACAGGGGGTCCCTGGTGCCTGTGCCAGGCAGTGCCAGGGTGGAGCTCGGCTGTGTCAGTCCTGCCCGCAGCCAGCAGGTGGGCCCATGTGCCCACAGGCAGTGGTGCCAAGGACATGGTGCCCAGGTTTGGGCCCGGCTCTGTCACTGTTCAGCCAGGTGATCCCCGCCACACCTTCATCTCTCCCCGTGAGCTGGGAATGATGGGATGCCCCACCTTCCCCAGGTCTTTGTGGTGCGCCCACCCTCAGCAGTGCCCCGGGGACACAGCAGCGGAGGCCAGCTGTCATTCAGCGGGAGGGTGGAGCATGTCCGGTGACCGGGCACTCCTGAGTGCTGGGAAAGTCCAGTGAGCTGGCTGGTCTGGGCTGTTTTCCTTGGGGTGGTTCTGGAAGGTGGCTGGGGTGGGGTGGGGTGGCACGTGGGAGTGGAGACTGCAGGGCTGGTGATTGTGGCTACTCTGGTCATGGCCATGTGGTGCTGGCCCAGACTCCCAGCCCTCTCTGGACCATGGTCTGGTTGGAATGTGGAGAGCCCTGGGCCTCAGCGTGGCCTCATACGTGGTTCCAGGCAGGGACGGGGTGGGACTGGAGGGTGTGGAGGCTCTAGGCTGACCTAGGCCAGAGAAGAAAGGGCCGGTGGGTCCGGGAGATGGGGATGGGGTCCACAGCTGGTTGAAGCAGAAGGACCCCAGGCATAAGAGAGGACAGCGTTGGCCCAGGGGTGAGAGTGGGCCATGGCGCTCTTGCTCAGAGGCCTGGAGGCTGGCCCTTCCCCTGTCTGGCATACAGCCTAGGGGGAAATTCGTGCAGGCTGTGCTGACTGAAGCACCAGGGCTTGTGCTGGAAATGGGTCCAAAGGTTCTCCAGGCGTCTCCAGGGCTCAGGGCTGCACCCCTGTCAGCTGAGGCCGTCCTGAGCCCAGCTCCCTCTGGCTGCAGGGGGAGAGCCCAGCTGAGGCCGTCCTGAGCCCAGCTCCCTCTGGCTGCAGGGGGAGAGCCCGCTGAGGCCGTCCTGAGCCCAGCTCCCTCTGGCTGCAGGGGGAGAGCCCGGCTGAGGCCGTCCTGAGCCCAGCTCCCTCTGGCTGCAGGGGAAAGCCCAGCTGAGGCTGTCCTGAGCCCAGCTCCCTCTGGCTGCAGGGGAAAGCCCAGCTGAGGCCGTCGTGAGCCCAGCTCCCTCTGGCTGCAGGGGAAAGCCCAGCTGAGGCCGTCCTGAGCCCAGCTCCCTCTGGCTGCAGGGGAAAGCCCAGCTGAGGCCGTCCTGAGCCCAGCTCCCTCTGGCTGCAGGGGGAGAGCCCGGCTGAGGCCGTCCTGAGCCCAGCTCCCTCTGCTGCAGTGGGAACACGTCTTCGCAGTGCTCGTCTCTGCTGTGGGTAGTCAGCTGCTTCATGATCGCTGGAAACCCGCTGACAGGGCTTGGTCGAGGGTCTCCAGCTGGGTGGGGATGGTGGCTGATGGGGTCATGAGAGGCCCCATAAGCTGTGATCATCATGAGGGGGCCCTGGAGAGAAGGCATGGGGGTGGGAGAGGGCGGGCAGGGGTTGGGGTGGCGGGTGAGTCCAGGGCCAGCGGAGGCCACATGAGCAGGTCTTTGCTGCTGGCACACTCAGCCAGTGCTAGGTCAGGATGGACAAGGAGTGAGGTCCCCACAGGATTTGCCACGTGGTGGTCACAGGTAGGCTCGGCCCGGGCACCCTGGGGGTTGATGGGAGTGAAGCCTGAGGGTGGAGTCCAGGAGAGGAGGAGAGGAAATGGGGGAAATGAGGGAGGAGTGTGGGTTTGGGATTACAGGGGCTGACGCATGCTCTGGATGAGAGCTGGAATCTGGGCTGGGGCTCCTCAGGCACAGGCTGCTCTGTGCAGGGGCTAGTGGGGAGAACCTCCCACCAGGCAGAGCTGCCCACAGGAGGAACAGCCGACAGTGAGGTAGTGAGTTCCCCGTCACTGGAGGCAAGCAAAGAAGGATTTGTGCCTTTGGGGACTCTTCAGGGCCCCACAGACCTCAGGTGGGGAGGGAGGTAGGAGGACGGGAGAGAAGACTCTGGGCGTGTGGGGGTGACCTGTGACGCTCTGGCTCCGGTGTCTGCTCACTGGCCCCTGACATGTGGCTGCCTGGAGATATGCTGCTCTTCCAGCTTGTGGATGCAGCTGGAGTCCTGCCCCAGGTCACAGCCCGGAGTGGGAGGTCCAGGCCCCTACCGGGGAGCCTGTAGCTCGTCATTCTCAGACTGAGGCAGGGCCTTTTGACAGGGCCATGTATGGTCACCCTGTCACCAAGTCAGAGCCCTTATTAAGAATACAGGAAGCATGGACACTCCCCCCAGCCCCGAGTGTGGCGGGGGGCCTGGGTGATGACACACTGGTCTCCGTGAGTGAGAGCCATAGCTGCTGGGGCCCCTGCTGCTCCCATCAGCCGAGATAATGGGGGCCTCTGGGCCCCTCGGAACACTAACCAAAGCGGCCCCTTTCCTTCTCCTCCATTATTCATGACCTCCGAGAGGCTGTGAACGTCCTCCTTTCTCTACAGGAGCCATTGTTACAGTGATAAATTTTATGTACAAAGTCGGTCTTTTCCTGAAAGCCAGCTGGCTGGGGGGCCGCACATAAACGCCGTAACTGAGCCGGCGCTCCCGGAGCTGCCTGTCACAGCTGTTTCTCCAGCAGCATCTCAGGCGCTGGCTGGAGGGGCCGGGAGATCCTTCCACCACCACCCTGACCTGCTGAGGGTCCTGTGCTTAGAGGGGAGGCCATGCGGGGGTCTGTCTGGGCTTCAGTGGGGCAATTGCAGACGTGGGTCCCGGGGGCAGCCGGTCAGCCCAGGTTCCCACTGTGGGCACCATCCCTGGTCTCCGGCCGTGAGGACCCACTGCAGGGACCTGGCTGCGGCAGGCCCGGGGCCGAGCATTCCCACACATCACACACAGCCTCATTCTCACGTCAGAAGCGTGCATTCTCTGTGACGCAGGCATGCCACACATCTGTGGACATGTGCCCAGAACTGTGCAGGCCACACCGTCAGTGTGCAAAAGTGCTGCGTGCTGTAAAATAAAAATAAAACCCTAAGTCCCCCAACCCACTGAACAGGCCCCCTCTTGGCCAAAGGGACTCCCGAGAAACCGGAAAAACTGAGTTCCCAGTCATGATGGGACGGGAGGGCAGACACGCCTCGCTCTCCCGGTTCCCTGTGGGAGTTCAGGCAGGGCCGACCAGTACTGACGTTAATCTAGCGATCAGAAGACTGTGACCCCGACACAAATTATAAACAGGACCGAAGGCCGCCAGACCAGGGTCAAGTCACGCACCCCACAAGCCACTGTGACCCAGTGTATCGGTTAAAAGACTTCTTAATCTTAACTTAAAACTTTCCTTTCTGATGACTCCACATTCATAGAAAAAGCTTTACTTCTTTAACTCATTGCAAATGAAAGAATCTCTGGCCCCACTGATGACCTGTCCCCCCACTGCTTCAAGACACTCTGCCTTTCTGTGCTAAACCAACGTAGGAGCTCCTTGAATTATGACTGCCTGAAATTCTGTCACAGTAAAGCTCGTAGGAAGCAGAGCTGGGCTCTGGCTGCCTCAGGACCACCCACTCAGGGCTCCCTGGGTGTGTGCACTTTTTCCTGGGCCGCGGTCACTCATACTGGCTCAGAATAAAACTCCATATTCTACAGAGTTGGGTCTTTCCGTTAACCGTGCTCTCCAAGTGCTCGATGGGCAGGATGCATGCTTGTGTGCAACGGCTTAGCTCCTCACAGGGCTTAGTTCCCCTTCCCTCCCCGCCGCCCCCTGAGCCCCAGGCCTGGCCTCACTGGCAGATAAGGACAGGGGCTCTGTAGGAGGAAGCTCCCTGCAGGGTCGTGAGGCAGCAGCTTACGGAGTGGGCTTAGAGCCAGGGCACTGGGTGCCGCACTTGGTCATGACTGCCCTGCACACGGCTGCTGGGACGTGGGGCACAAGACACTGGGAAGAGCTTGGCACCAGAGCTGGGGGGAGGGAGGGCCCCGCCCACACCCTGTCCTGGCTCTGCGACCTTGGGCAGTCAGTGCCTGGCTGAGAGCCGCTGCCTCCTGCCCCAGGGGAATGCTCTCCCTGCAGGGCGGTGGCAGGTTCTGAGGGGCTCCCGTGTGCCTCCCTGTGAAAGCGGCAAGGTTAGGCTGGCCGGGCAGGCACACAGTTCTGGTCCACATGGGTGCCCGCCTGGCAGTTTCTGAGTGGCCCAGAGCCTGGGTGCCCAAAGTTCCCTCGGCCCAGGTGTGCCCGTCACTGGTGCCGCCCTCCCTGGTGCCCCCTGGAGCCCTCCGGCCCGCTGGGAAGTGCAGGTTCTCCTGATCTTTCTGCCATGTGAGGAGCAGCTGGCCTGAAAGGGCAGAAGTCAGTGTCCAGGCAGAGAAACTATATGCTGGGCAGGAGACTCCCAATCTTTTGAGAGCTGTGGGTGCAGGCTCTGAGCTGGCAGTGACATCAGGGGACCCAGAACACCACCGTGGGCAGAGTAAGGGCTCCCAGAGACCTGGGGACAAGCCTGCCCTGCAGTGGTCCTGGGACCCTCAGCCTCTCGTGCCCAAGGGAAGGAGCTGCCTGTACTCTGCAGTTGGCAGAGCCCACCCATTGGTTCCTTGACCTAATGATTATGAGCCATTTGGGCAGGGAAAAAACCCAAACAAATAAGTGGAAGCTTCTAAGACCCTGGCCAAGAGAGTCATTCCACATATCCTGAGCATCTGCAGAAATTAGGACCATCCCCGAAGACTCAAAAGATACAGGCATGGCCAATCCCACTGTCCCCACTGTTCCCACTCT